TTTATTACCTCTTGGATTATTGTAATTCTTTGTAAGCTGGCTTAGATGAATCATCTCTGCATCACTTACAAAGTTTCCAGAACGCAGCAACTCATCTAAAAGTTACTAAAAATATTAACATTTAACCTCGGTCCTGACTTCCTGTCCACGTGTGAATTGAATTTACAATTATAATTGTTCCATTGAGTTTTTAAGGGTTTCACTCCATCATATTTACAGTAAGAGCACTCAGGTCTGCCAACCAGTTTCTCTTAGATGTTCATAGATCCAAAATAAAATCTGGAGGTGTTCAGGCATTTGTGATTGCAAGAGCTGCTGAGAGCGTTGAGAATTTTAAAGAACACACATTGTGCTTTCAAATCTTTCTTCATGTTTAAATCCTTCAGTTTGGGTCTATATAAAGTGGAACTGCAATGCTTTGGTCTGATTTCCTCATTGTAACTCAACAGGCCCCTCGTTCACCCTTTTTCTGAGGTGTTTCAGATCAACTCATTTTGAGGCTGTCTCAAAGGAGGTGCCTCATGCCCCGCCCCCTTCTAGCTTCCAGAGCGGTCCATTCTAGTTTGGAAGGAAGGTTTATTTACTGGCACAGAAACCTTTATTTATATATGAAAGATGTCAACAAGAGAAGACTTGTCCATCCAGCCTTACATGTTGGAACCAGAGTCTGACCCAGAATCAGAGTCTGACCCAGAACCAGAGTCTGATAAAAACACCTGCAGTCATGACATCTTGGAGGGCTGCTGGACAAAGTGGAGTGGGAAGAACCATGGCTCCAACAAGAGAAATGTCTCTTGAAACAAAAGAGAGGATTGTGAAACTTCTTGAAGAAGGTAACTCTACACGCAAGGTTGCTAAAGATGTGGGCTGTTCACAGTCAGCTGTATCCAAGATGTGGACCAAATACAAACAGCATGGAGTGGTTGTTAAAGCCAAGCATACTGGTAGATCAAGAAATACATCAAACTGCCAAGACAAACAACTTAAGGCCATTTGTCTTGAAAAACGAAAAAGTACAACCAAACAGATGAAGCATAAATGGGAGGAAGGTGGAGCCAATGTATTTGACCGAACTGTAAGAAATCACCTAAAGGAAATGGGATTTCAATACAGGAAAGCTAAAAGAAAACCATCATTGACACCTAAACAAAAAAGAACAAGACTGCAATGGGCAAAGGAGAGGCAATCATGGACTGTGGATGACTGGATGAAAGTTATCTTCAGTGATGAGTCAAGAATCTGCATTGGACAAGGTGATGATGCTGGAACTTTTGTTTGGTGCCGTTCCAGTGAGATTTATGAAGAGCACCGCCTGAAGAAAACAACCAAATTTCCACAGTCCTTGATGATATAGGGCTGCATGTCAGGCAAAGGCACTGGGGAGATGACTGTGGTTAATTC